CTGCCTGTGTTAAACCCAATCACATCCAGCCTCAGTGTGTGTGTGTGTGTGTGTGTGTGTGTGTGTGTGTGTGTGTGTGTGTGTGTGACAGCAGACAATAAAACACAACTCAGAGACCTGGATGAGATGAAGAACAGCATCTCCTCTTCATCGCCATGTTCCACATGAGACGATGATCATTGAAACCGTTACCAATTCATCATCGGTACGTAGCAAGTAGAAAAAAGGATCAGAACACACAGGTTACAAATAATTCAGATTTTTAAAACTAGTGTAAAAACAACAGTGTTTAATAGAAATACAGGTTTTATTTGTATGTGGTTTGCTGGGTCTGTCTACAACTTCTCTCACTGGGCTGAGATTAATTAGTGAACAGCAGTCATGAGGGAAGTCAGATGGGGACCATGTTAATTTTAAGGTGACACCAAAACCAAAAGCGGATTTTGTGTTGTGGTCATATTTGGAAAAACACGGAGTCAGTGAATCACTGGTCATCTTATTGAGAACAGCACAGTCACTGATCTTATTTTGTCTTGAAAATTTACATTTGTTAAAGAAAATGTGTATATCCTGACAAGCTGCTGATGATGGCTTTCTGTAACTCTGACTGGCTGTCTTTATTCAGAGGGCATTTGTTTTTAAGTCTATCCATCCATTACCTGTTGTCGCCTCTTCCTTTCAGGGTCACTGGAGCCCAGATCCAGCAGTCAATGTGCGAGGGGTGGGGTACACCCTGCTCATGAGAGGTGGTAGCACAGAGGGTAGAGAAGCAGTGTCTGTGATCGGAAGGTTGTTGGTTCAACTCCCCGAACCAACCAGCCTCACCTTGGGCCCCTGAGCAAGGCCCTCAACCCCCCAGCTGCTCCCCACAATTGGCAGCCCACTGCTCAACGTGTGTTCACATGTGCGATGGGTTAAATGCAGAGACTGAATTTCCCCTCTGCGGGACAATAAAGACAATAAAGGTTAATAAAATCTAAAAAAAAAAAAAAAACTAAAGTCCACCACAGGGACACATGGAGACCATTTAAAGTTACCATCTAGGCTGTTTTTAGTCATACAGAGAGAACACGCAAACTCTACCCATGGATGGGAATTGATCCATCAACCTTCTCACTAAAAGGTGACAGCTTTACCAACTGCGCCACCAGCTTTTAATTCTGTTCTGTTTTATCTTTAGTTAAAATTATATTAATATTTTAAACTACTAATTGTTCAAAACAAATGTTTTTCAGAATGAGACACTCTGGTCAAAGTGGAGCAGTGGGGACACCCTTTTTAGGGCTGGACATAGTCCCTCCCGGCCCCTCATTGGTGGTGCCTCTGCACAAACTGTAGCCAGACTGCTCACTGGTTGTAAACGCTCAGAGAGACAACAGAAAGTTTGTAATGCGAATGTCTTTATGTGTCCCTGTGGTGGACCTATGACCTGTCCTGGGTGTACCCCGCCTCTCTGTGACCCTGAAAGATGTGACTACATGTTGTCATCGGACCTCTCTAACCCATTTACATTTTGGTATAAAGTGAGTTAGCATGTTCCCATACAGTGACAAAATATGTGCTCAGAATTTGACCCGTCACAAACGAGATACCTCCCAATTGCAAGTTGAGGATTTGGTGTCTTGCTCAAAGACACAGCATGTGGCCGGTGGGGAACTGAACCTATGACTTTCCAGTCCCAAGTCAGCTGCCCCTGTTTATATTTGCCCATTTCCCTCAATTTTAAGTTGGCAAAAGTCACAGCTCAGTGAGATGCTTCTTATTAAATGTGACCCATCGTATTGAAATGAGGATTAAGTCAAATTTGGTCAAAATGACCTGATTACATTTTCAGATTCTTGGCTTTAAAAGCTACATTTTGACACCTGGATCATCCTGATATCATAATTAAATCCATATATTTGACTTAATTTGTCTTGTTGGTTACAATAATACATAAATATTTGGTCTGAATCCTAATTTTATGTCCTTTTAATGAGGAATTTTTGATGTTCTTATAAAGAGGAAACCTCAAATTATATTTGAATATTGAGATTTCCCAGCTGAAAAGAAACAAAACTTTGCTAGCTCACAGGGAAAATTTCAAAAAATTTAAGGCGTTTTTCCTCAAAATCAGTTTTTTTTGTTGCTACTGCTCAAAAAAATGCTTCAAATTTTAGTTTTATGATTATATTTCAGACAGTTCATTCAAATGATACATTGATAAGGCTTTTATTCATTATATTTTGACAAAGTGCAATTTTTATTAACATTTTAGTCCAAACACTATATTTGCCTATTTCTCAACACACCACTTTTAGACTTGATCCTCGTTTCGATGTGATGGGTCACATAACGAAGACACAACACACACCCTGCCTCAGACTGACAGTGGGCCTTCACACATTTAGAAATTGGGTCTGAATTTCATTGTGTAGACGTTTATCATTTAGAGATCAATCAAACATGTTCTGTATTTGCATGTTACAGTCAGTGCAACAATACAGTAAATGTATCAGATCTCCATGTGAAGCAGACATGTCGACACACACAACAGTAAAAATGAGTACAGTCCTGTCAGGAGTGTGTATCTGAGGGGCTGTTCAGATTTGTCACTAAATGCCGTCTTCACTGATCTGATTGTGTAACAGAGTTAAATACATATCACTGTTCTACATACCTCCATGGTTTGTTTAGTAATCTGAACACAATCTGTCCTGATCCTCCATGTCGGACGTCCTAACTAAATAATACTAATAATTCAAACTAAATAAAACTAATTAATACAACAGTTCAGATGTCTGAATATGTTGTAGTACTTCCTGCTGATGTTCCGATTAGTGGCCTTTGTCCATCAACCACATTTATATAGTAAAAACAGTAAAAGTACTCTATTAATCCCCAATGGAAAATTATTTCTCTGCATTTTCCCCGTCGTACACATGGGGCAGTGGGCTGCCATCTGAGACCTTTGTTAAGGGTCCAGAGTGGGGCAAATGACGGTTTCCCACTCACATTTATTTTTTGTTAGTTTGGGGAGTTCAACCAGCAACCTTCTGATCACAGGTTCTCTAAACTCTGCGCAACCCAATATACCAATATATATGTTTTTATAGACCATTTCGTAGTTTAAAAAATACTAACAAATGTGCAAAGCAACTGGTTTCTGACAACTCGTGGTTTAATTTGACTGTTTTTTAACCAGGCAAATACCATTGAGATCACAGATCTCTTTTTCAAGGGAGGCCTGGGCCAGAACAGAAACTGTTGTGTGTGTTTTTGGGGTGTGTGTGGGAAACCGGAGCACCCGGAGAAAACCCACGCAAGTATGAAGAGAACATGTAAACTCTGCACTGAAAGACCCCAGGTCCAAACCAGGGATTGAACCCTGGACCTTATTGCTGTGAGGCGTCGGTGCTGCTTTCTTTACCATTTTTATACTTATTCAGTTTTTTTGTATTTGTTGTTTATATATTAAAATTTATTTAACTTATTTTTGATGCTCTTAATTTGAAGTTTAGCTTCTAAAGATGCTACGTGCTACACACAACCCCGGACACGTCCAGCACTGCTTATAAGACGGGATTGTTTTTATTTATTTTAGGATAAATAAATAAAAATAGAAGTTTTTACACCTGTGGGTTTATTTTGTGGGCTTAACGAAGGCTGATCAGTCCACTACCGGCTTCCAAAGTTAGCTAAAAAAGCTAATCCATTAAATAGGAAGCTAGTTCTGCTATAAGCGCGTTAGCAGATAAGTGGAACTGTGCCCAGCTCTGCTAAAAGAGGCATAAAATACAAGATCTGAACAGCCCCCGAGTGATGAAACAAGTTCTGCAGGAGATCTCTGCTGCAGAACTGAGTTCTGACAGGAGGGTGAAGGTTCTGAGCCTCAGCTCACATTCAGCCTCTGAGCTGTGGTCATGGTAAATCAAACAGGTACAGAAAGTCATGTGTTCATCCTCATGTATTCATCTCATTAGTTAAAAACATAATTCACTCAGTCCCACACACACACACACACACACACACACACCTGTGCAATAACGAAAAATACACACTTGAGCCGACAATACAACATCTCAAGAAGGCATTAAGGAAATGTCAAATAAATATGAATAAATTAGGTCATATAAAAAGAAAGTGTTAAAACATCCAGTATAATAATAAACAACAGTAGCTGCTCACAGACAAAGACTGGAGGGATGTAAGAAATGTTCGAACAATGACACACACGGACAACAAGACACATTCACAGACCCTCAGTGAGCCGAGGGGCCTGCCGAGGCTCCTCGCTCCCCTCAGCAGGACGCTGTGTGTTTATTGGCAGTGCTGCTGTCGTCTCCTCTCTCTGGACCTGTGGCTGCGGGCTCGGGCTGAGCAGCACCAAGTGATGTGGCAGAGTGGACGGACGTGTCGAGGCTTCCTTCCAGATCCAGCTGCTCCGAGTCTTCCTACAAACCCAGGTGTCGTGGACGCAAAGGCCCAAAGCTCCACTGGGACAAGATCAGTCCGGTGATTAAAAACCAAACGATTTTAGCTTTAGGGTTTGGTATGATTTCTGAGTGTTCGGTGAATAAAACATTAAACCATCTACAGAACTCCACAGCTGCAGAATTATCTTCAGCTCTGCTCAGGTGTGGCCTGGCTTTCTGCAGGTCATCTCTTAATGATGAAGAGGAAACATGTGACCCATCACATCAAATCAAGGATTATGTCAAACTGAGGTGCACTAATCTAATTTTCACATTCCTGCTTTGTTAAGCTACATTCTGATGCTTCGATCATCCTGATATCCTGAGTGGTTCCAGAGATATGGCTTGGTTTCGGGAAGACCCCTGGAAAAAGGGGTCTGAATCCTATTTTTAGCAAACCCTAATGAGGATTTTTCAAAGTCACTTGAAAGTGAGAACTTCAAAACCATATTTAGATATCAGGATTTCCTAGCTGGTATTGAGAATAGCTTCAGAAAGTAGCTAAAATGTAGCACTTTTCTGCTCTAATTGTCTTTACTTATTGGTATGGCTCAGAAAAGTGCTTTGAAACAGTCTTTAAGAATATATTTCATACATATCCTTCAGGAAACCCATAGATAGGTATTTGTTCATCTGATTTTGATATCCAACACACTACAGCTGCCAGTTACCTCACAACACTACCTTAGGACATAATCCTCGGTTCGATGTATCGGGTCACATGTGTGCTAAAAGAAACATCTCATTAGCAACAGAGCGACCCGTTCTGTCCAGCTGTTCCACACAGAACTGGGCCACTGATTTTTTTCCTATAACTCCTGGTTAGTTCAGCTGCAGCTCAGCTTTTCAGTTGGACGGTCACTTCTGTCACTTCATCGTTCTAAGCATCCCTCTCTGGCTCTCAGTGAGATAACAGAACTGATTGCAGCAGAGCAAGAAGACCTCGGTGTTCTCTGTGGGCAGGGAGGTGGCTGCAGTCCGATTGGCACATTTAGGAGATTCCCGTTCACTTAATGAGGATAAATTATACCGTAGAGTTTTAAGGCCATGAGAGGTTTTTTTCAGGTTTTTTTTGACAGAATTGGATTCAACATGGATCAGGATTGGGTTTGCAGCCAGAGTGCCTTTGACAGTGTTACACAGCGGGGAAGGCTCAACCCGTGACCTGCTCACCTCAAACCACAACAAACCAGCACAAAGCACGGAAACCCTGAAGTCCAAATGGAGCTGGTCACCTCCTCACCATCCTGAAGTGTTTCCTGGCAGCCAACAGCTTATCTTTTCAACACGGGCTTTGTTTCACACAGCTCAGTTTGCCATCTTAAGGCAAAATAAAACATGTCAAATCTGAGTTCTTAGGTCCTACTAAGGTGAGATTAAGAAGCAATAATTGGTGAAGGTTTTTTTTTTCATCTTCTACAAATCCAGAGTCAAACATGTAGATCAGCTGCTGGGAGACACGATGTCGGAGGAACATGCGTTTTGTTCGTTTACGTGATGGGGAATGTGTTTAACCGTAGAAGCTGGAGTCCTCAGACAAAGAGCAAATGGAAGCGTGTGGCAGTGCATGTGTCGTTGAGCAGAGCGAAACGGAGCCAGAAAAACGTTTCATAGAAAACTATCAAGGTCTGAAATAAAGGGTCGGTGATGAGATCCCTGCTAGTATCTTCATGCTAAGTGTGTGTACTGTATTAACGGAAGTGAAGGCACACACAGTACGGTTCAAATGTTCCAAATGTTGGCTGAACATCAACAGAAAGTTAAAAAAACAGCTGGTTCAACTGAAAAAAACAAAAACAAAACCAAACACACAGCGGCTGAGCTCAGAGGCAAGTCTTTGTTCTGTGAATCAACCAGCAGGTAGGATGTCCCTGTGTTCAGAGAGGGAGGGGCCGGGCCGCAGGGCCGTGACGGAGCAGGTGAAAGGAAGCAGAGGGACCAAAGAAGTAGCTGTTAGGTGTGTGAACGGG